TGTAAAGTGAAAGCATGATGTGATGATGTGAACTGGATATATGAGTAATATGTTTTGTAATGATGCATGAACGAACACTGTTTTTGATTGAATATGGGTGATATTGTTTGAACTGTATGTTGATGATGAAATGTATGAATTGGAAAAATGGATAAGTTATGTAGAGTATGAGATGATAATATGAATTCTATAAAGTATGTGATTTATGATGGAGATAAAATTATAAGATATGAATCATATGAAAAATGTGGAGTTAATGTAGATGAAAAATCTGGAAAATATGATATTTCTTACCTTGATAATGCACGCTCGTCATCGAACGGTCTTATACCGTTCGGTTTCCCTGAAAATAACTTAGAATGGAATTCTTTCATTTGGAAGGAACTCTGCTTGAGAACGAGCGTCCTCTTGTGAAAGGCTAGGTTTGAGCGTTCGGCACAGCCTAGTGGTACCCAACGATCGTAATTAATTGAAGTTATAATAGTAACGCTCGGTTTTATATCCAGCGTTCATTATAGGTAGCGCTTAGTCTTATACTAAGCGTTCGTCCAAATGAGCTATCGGTCTTATACCGAGCGTTCGTTCAAATTAGTGCTCGGTCATCTACCTAGCGTTCGTCCTAAGTAGTATTCGGTTTTATACTGAACGCTCGTCCTTATCCTTGATTCCTGCACGGACGTAAATAGCGTTCGTCCAAATTATTAGTTGACGTTCGGTCATTCACTGGCAGTCGATTTCTTTTGAATGATTATTCTCAGTAAAGTTAAATACTTGTATGTTGTATTCTTGTACATTTGGATTCGGCCTAGAGCCTGTATACTTAGTTTTTTTTATGAATATTGATTTCATAACTGTAGAGTCAGTTCCCCTCAACTGATTGAATAGCCACAACGTTCGTTAAATACCTAGTGTCGATTTCTTCAAATCTTGGAACGAGTTGTCGTAAATCCAGTCTTTAGCGTTCGTCCTCGTTCTTCAGAGGATTGAACATTCGTTATTTTACCCCCTTAAAACTAAAGATGAAAATGAAATTAAAGTGTAAAATTCTGAAGTGTGAACCATGTTTGGAGAAATTTTATGATGATGGATTTTGAACGAGCGTTCCAAGGAGGAACGTCTCTATGATTTGAATGTGGGAAGTGGTGTAGTATGACCATGGTAAAGCTGCTGATGGCTGTTCATCCTGATATTCCGTGAGTGCTCGTCCTCATGTAGAGGGGAGTAGGTCATGTGTGGGAATGTCAGGAGGTCTTAGTCCTAATGAGTACTTTGGACTGATAGGGCTAACCTCGGGTGGCAGCTGTTGAGTGTTTCCAGTTATCACATCACCCGAGTGCACGAACGCCTGTAGATACATGGATTCATACAGTCCGGACGGTCGATCTTGTAAGAGTTTTGATGATTAATTTTATGCTGATATATATTGTTGTGTGTCTTGTATGTTGATTTGCATATGTTAAACTGTATGTTGGCTGTATGAATTAAATCACCTAAGCTTACCCTTGCGTTTCCTTGTGTTGTCTACTGTTTATGTACGTTCGTCTTGTCCATGCAATGATCATCCGTGTGGATGTGAGCAGACGGAGAGGCGTTGCTTGAAGAAACTCTGGAAGAAGAAAATTTGGAGGACGCCAATCTGGTCGAAGTAGAGGTTAAAGTCGAGCCCTAGAGCGCTCCTTAAGTTGTAGCCTTTAGTATTTCTGTTTAGCTTTTTGGACGTTTGGTTAATGTGTGTAAAACCGTTCGTCTTTAAACGTTGAAATACTATTGTATGGTATTTATCTCTGTACTTATTCACGTTCGGTTTTGGAAGTTTAAAATTTTTTAGTGTAAGACTGCATGGATTAACTGTTAATTGTAATTAATTCTAAATTATGGTTATTACTGTATTTTGGGATGTCACAATTATAAATTTTAATATTGTATTTTCTAGGTGACATAATTAACTAGGAATATAAAGATAATAAAATCTTAATTAAATGCATGGAAGGATGCAAATAAACCATGTAGTGATTGAACAACTTTTGATATATGATTTTCTTCAATATTATAATAAAATACATCCGTTATTCTATAAAACAATTTGTTGACATGTCATTTAACAATCAGTATCGTTCTTATATTAACATTCTATATGATACATGAGAGGTAAAATAGTATTTGAGTTCAACGAAAAGTTTCCATCAAAATTTAGGAGCTCTTCAAATTATCTTATTTATTATAATAGTTTTTCAAATTGTATATTTCCAATTAATTTATAAATATTAAATTAAACATATTTTTGTAAATTTATATTCATATTAGATTATAAAAAATTAAAATTCTAATAAAATAATTTATTATAAACAAATATATAAATCTATAAAACTAAAAAAAAATTGTCCGTACACAACTTATAAAACATTTAAAATACAACTCAATTAAGTTCACTCAGCTTTGTGTTCAAAAGATTTTCTAAAATATACGTGTTGGTATAAATATTTATATATTAATATTACATGTTATCAAATCCCAATACTTAATTTGTAATATCTCTTGATATACTATATTTACAAAATATACGATATATTAGGTAAATATCATATTATTATAATTATTATTATTCTATTAATTAACATATAACAAAAATAACAAGTATTACTGACGGCTAACATATGTCAGAAACGTCAAAAATTTGTTGATAATGACGTTTTTTGACGGATATCGATGGACTAAAATTCGTCAGTATACCGATGAACTAAAATTTGTCAATATACCGATAAACTAAAATATGTCGATAATAATAATATTTACCGATAAATTTATATTCGTCGATAATTATTGACATAAATTATCATCGGTAAATGTAAAAAATATATGTAAGAAATTATTGACAGAAAAATTTGCCAGTAAATACAACAAGAATCCATCGATTATTATAGACGAAAAATTTTCATCGATAAACCCGTCAGTAAATACTGCGATATGATTCATCTTCTTCCTCTCTTTCCTTCTTTTTTGTTCCCTTATTTTTTTCAATCCACAAAATGAACGCATTACAGATGAATGTCACACACATTTACACAATTTTATGCACAAAATTTCATGGTTCCACTTTAATTCACTATCCCACTTTGGTTTATTACACAATTTTATTATCACCAAATTATCATTACAACAATTTCATACAAATTCACACAATTTCATAACCTACACAAAATTATAACCAACTTAGCAAATTACTTCACAATAAATACAAATAAAAAGCAAATAAAAAATAATAAAAGGATTATGCTCGCTTCAAATCCATCACTGTCTAATGATGATGAGTGATGGTGGCAATGCGTGGCATGACAATAGTGTATGGCACGACGAAAGTGCACCTGGCTTCGATATGAAAGAGAAAGAACATATGATCCCTCCTATCATGTGTTAGAGAAGAAGAAGATTAAGTAAAATTCCAAGCTTGACGACGTAGATGGTGACAGAGATGACAGCTTGGGTCAATAAAGATGGAGACACATCAAAGGGTCCAAGAGCTGTGGTAATCTAAGCTTAGATGGAAAAAATGAGAGATATGAAGGATTACCCTCACGAGAAAGAAAAGATGAAGGGAGTTTTGAAAATAGAAGAAAAGTGGCGTTTGAGAACGAGAAACAAGATAAGAAATAGGCTTGGAAAGAAAGAGAGAGAGAAAAAAAAAGTAACGTGCAGTTCTCAAAAAAGAAAGATTGGACGGGAAATTTGACGCTCTTTTTACCAATAAATTTATCGACGAATTTTATGTCTGTAAACTTAATATATACTACCCACGAATTTACCAATAAATTTAAAAATTATTCTGTAAGTCATAGGACTCACATACTCTATAAAAAAACGCATGGTATTTCATAAAAAATACATTTTTTCATATTATTTTCTTTTACTCAATCTAAACTCTCTTATTTATTTAAGCTTTAGAAAGTTTTTTACAACAACTCTAAAAAACATGCATCAAGATCATTTAATTCATGCAAATTTTAACACATGTCTGAAAGTCTGTTCTGGATCCCAATGAAAACAAAAGATGCTTCTAAAAGTTTTATAAGGAAAAATAAAAAAAAATACATGATAAAATTTTGACCTCTATAAAATTGTATTTGAATACTAAAAGGGTTTATACTGGAAAATAAATTTCCATATAGTCTAATTAGGTTAATAAAATTCAAAAGTGATCTAGAAAAAAAAATCTATAATTATAGACATTAGTGTACATAATAAATGAAAATTTGTTATAACATACTCTACAATAATGTTGTTAGAATGACTTATAGCTTGTTTTTGGTAATTGAGAGAGTCTCCTTGTTTATTAGATTTCAACCCTTGACATAAAAGTACTTCTTAAACAAGAATTAATTAAAAAATTTTGAATGCACATGAATAAAACTACTCTACCTAGAGGAAAAAATGTTCATGAAGTAATATATAAGTTTTCTTAAAGTAATTATCTTTTATTATTACATATGTTTTATATATTTATTTTAATTAAGTTTCGAGTCCTTTAATTAGATATTTGTGCTTTAATCTTTGTTATGAATAACATGACTATTATCTTTTACTATCATCTTATTTCTTTTCATTCATTAAAAAATAAGGGATTGTGAAATTTTATAATTAATATACAATGACATTAAAGTTAGAGTTCTTATTATCTATATTAATTATTATATTATTTTATATTTGTTACAAAATTCTATGTATCTTAATACACTACTAAACTTATTTTAAAAAATAAGAATAGGTTAAAAAAAAGCTGAAAAAAAACGGATATTAATATTTCATCTAAGAAAATGAATAAACTTTTCTGAAAGACTACATTAAGTAGAGTTATTAAAATTTGTGACTTTTACAGTTATCCTGGTGTGGTTCAATTTCCAGCATATTGGAAAACTGAATTCAATAATGTAAAAGAACTTTCAAAACTGTTCTCAAATCCAAGAAACTGCGAAGGCGGAAGTTTATAAGAATTTATAAATGTGATTTTATTGAAGTTCTTTGTGAACTCAACCATCAAATGTTTGTTTTTCATGGATACTCAATCGTTTGATTTTCCTAAGTGAAAATCAATATTGTTTGTTTTTGTCAGTGCTACGGTTGAAGCTTACAAGTTATTGAAATGGAGAATCAGAAATCAAATATTCAAATGTTTGGGAAGTTTACATGGACCATTACGAACTTCTCCACGATAGATTCCAAGAAATTGTACTCGGATACGTTTTCTCTCGATGGCCACACATGGTGATTAGATTACTGCGTACTCTACATGTTGCTCTTTCATACGATTTCATCCGTTTTTCTCATTAAGTTTAGTAACTTTGCTTTTAGGAGGATTCTTCTATACCCAAAAAGGATTCCTGGGAACTGTATGTCAATTTTTTTGGATGCTGGTGTTGCTACTATGCCTCATGGATGGCAAAAATTTGCAAATTTCAAACTCATTCTGATTAATCAGCTTAATCACAAAGAAACTATAATAGAAGGTATATTTCACACTTATCTCTCATGTTGATATTTGGATATTATTTTCTTGGGCGAATGAAACTGTTTTCCTGCTAGCATTTTCATAATTCCACGTGAACTCTCCCGTGTTTTTAAATTCCTTAAAGAATAAAATCATTTAGCTTCTAATGACCCCTTTACCTTTTTCTGTCTGTAAGTTTTTCCTTAATACCTCAAAATCCAACCTTTTCTTGTTTGTCACTCTTATTGGCATGTACTACGTATTATCCCAAATGGTTGGTAGAAATTTGTTAGTCGAAACCATTTTACTTAAGTAGACATGATCAAATATTACTAAGTTTTATTAGATTGGGTAAAGGCGGCAACAAAATGCTTCCACCCTCACTCATATACTATTCTTATCCTCTATAGAAATTGTTATATCCTGCTCGAAGTTATATATATATATATATATATATATATATATATATATATTTATGTGAGGATCGTATGATTTTGTTTTAAACTCGATACACAACTGACTCTTCATGTCTGAATTTGTCAGAAATTAGTCACACCTTCAATTCAAAACAGAATGTTTGGGGTTTAATATCTTACATATCTTTGGATGAACTTTGGGACTCTAGTCGCGGTTTCATTGTAAATGATACTTGTATAATTGAAGCTCATATATTGGTTCATATATCAGAGCATGAGAGACAAGTTGATGAATCAGTTATGATCATCGACAATAAGCTTGTTGAAAGCATTGAGAGTCTTTCAGCAAAGGAAATGATTTCAACCTCATCATTTGGTGAGGCGGTGGATTTTAGGGGCATAGGAAAAGTAGATAAAATTTTTATTCCTCTGTTGGAAGAAGTTTGTTCCTGGTATCCCTCACTTATTGATAGCAAGAAGAACAGAAGTCAAAGATTTACTGAATGGGCTTTTACAGCACTTGGTAGAGTTCTTCATTTTCTCAACACTAAAAAACTGAGAGAGATGGACCATGATGCTTGTAATAATCTCCAAACTCTATGGGAGGAAGTTGAGACTTTTGGATTTGATTTGGAATGGCTGAAACCTCATGTTCAATTTGCCTTAGGCGTGAAAACTCATGTTGAGAGACTTAAGGTGAAAAGGTTGGAGGAGAATGTGACTATTTTAGAGATGGAAGCAATGATTTCGAGGACAAAGATGTTTGAAGCAATGGTAAATCTAAGAAGAACAAGAAGAGACTTGGTGAAAACAAAAGATGGTTTTGAAGAATATGATTTGGATGCTGAACTCGGATATGGTAAACATGATTCATAATGGACATGTTTTCATTTTAACTTTATCAATTCTTTTAATCATCAATATAGTTTTTTATGTTAAACTTGTTTGAGCTAAATTGTATTTGAAAATTTTGAGGCGGTGGCGAGAAAGACTTGGTGAGGAGGATGTCCCATCTAGAGTTGCTGGAAGCTGCCTTTGAGATGAGCACCCGGGCGGCTCTGTTAATGACACGTGATACTGAGACAGCGGAGGATGGAGTCAAGCAGTTGAAGGAAAAATTGGCTATCCTAAGTTCCGACTTGGACAAGGCGTTAAAGGTTAATTTTGAGTTGAACGCTAAGCTACCTGAGATGATCATTGCTCATTCCGACTGCGAGAAGAAACAAGAGGATGTGGCTACCCGACTGTTTGAGGCCCGCGTGACCGAGAAACACATAATTGAGACTGGTCGTAAATTTCAAAAAAATAATGACGATCTAACTCTAAAATGTCAGAAGATAAAGAAAGTTATAGAAGAACTCTGCCGAATACCGAGTTCATCCAACAGAAGAAGTTAGTCGAGGAAGTGACGCTCTTTTTGCCGAACTGGTTGATTTGAAGGCTGAACTCGGTTATTGAGGAAACCTTTGTGAAGTTTTGAATGGAGTTAAACAGAAACCAATGAAGATAGTATTTAAGGGTTAATTTAGTCGTTTGCTTTATGTTTGATTTTATATTATTTGTGTTCATGAACTTCAACTGTTATCCCACTCATCTTCACTAACATTTGGTTATTAGTACTTTTATTAATTGTCAATTTAATGCTAATTGAATATTGTTTTATATTACAAATGATGAAATGTATCAAAAATGGTTTTCATAATAATTTTCTGTAAATACTTATCTTATTTATGTTAATTGAATCTCTAAATTCTTAAATCTAGTAGTTTGTTTAAGGTTAAAAAGGAGGTTAAAAGACTTCTGCCTTTTATATCAATTTTGGAGAAGTTAAAAGCTAAGGGAAGTTTTAAAATAACTAATCATTTCAATTGATTATTTACTAAATTCCTTTTTTTTAATTTATTAATTTATGTTTTTTAATATAATGTTTAATAGTATAAAATTATTAAATAGGACATTATAAAATTTATAAAAATAGACGGTTAGATCAATAGGATATTAATACAATTATTTACCACAATATATATACAACCCCAACTAAAAAAATGTGGTAGAAGCTAAAAGTAATAAAATAAATCATAAATTAAGATTTTTTTGAAGTGTGTTGATTATTCTGCTTAAGAACTTATCTGCGGGGTATTTGGTGAAGCTCCTAAGATACAACATGAGCTTTTTAAGAACCTTTTAGAAATTTATGGCGATATCAAAACTAAAAGTAGAAAATAAATCCTAAGAGTTGGAAGCACGGAAACAGTTCAAGAGCATTATGGATACCATGACTTGTTGGAGGCTACAATAGTATATTACGGTTTGGTCAAAAATCATTCCACGAAATCTGCATCCGATTCTTGCGAACAAAGGCATAGCATATGATTCTGCACCTACAATCTTCGGAAGCAATAGCTTTTGCAATACAAGATTTACAATAATCCTCCACATATTACAGAAGACGAGAAAAAAAGATTGAAAGAAAGAGAAAAAATATTTTTTGGGTTTTATAAGATATAACGCATGAGAGCTAATCTATATGAACTAGTCCTAGATTAAGAAACTTAACACACAGTGTAATTGATATAACAAGTTATATGAACTAAAGACAGTTGAGTGTGTTAGAGGTTTATCAATACATTCCCACAATCTTTATTATTATCGTTGTGATATACTTATTAGGTCATGGATATGCCCGATATCCATGAGTACTCTAGAGATCATGTCAAGATCTCATGCAAACAGCCCCACTTGACACTCTTATAGGTGATTTCATCAAGTATATGGTACAAACCATACACCACCCGTAAGTGATATGAAGATCATTCAAAAATTTGTTTAATTACAAAGTTTAACCTCACAATAATGCAATCTCTAGCACTTTCACACAGACCAAAAGAATGAACATATTTGATTTAAAATCAAATTAGTGCTATCAGATCTAAAAGGTGACTTGTTTTTACCATTATTAACCTTTTCATAGGATTTTCAATCACAAAGGTTGAATTACTTGTTTGTTTGTCAGTAGCTTAAGTCTCATTTCCCTCGATATTTTTAAGATCATATTTCATCTCAAGGATTTTGTCAAAGGATATGCTAAATTTCATTCTCACTTCAGATAGTTAGTGGAAATAGTTCTTCTCTTTAATAGTTGTTTCACCAAATAGTTCCGTCATACTAAATGTTATTTTTAGTACGAAAATTTTATTAATCAACTTACTATGACAAGTAAACTACACATGTCATAATAAATAATCATATATTTCACTTTTTCTTCAGTGAAAATATCTTATTTATTATAAATGCTATTCAAATTTTATATTTTCAATTAATTTATAAATATAAAATTAAATACATTTTAAAAATTTATAATCACATTAGTTTATAAAAAAGTTTAAATTTCTAATAAAATAATTTATTATTAATAAATATATAAATTTACAAAACTAGAAAAAGAATTCTACATACTCTCCCCCACGAAACATTTTAATGAGGTTGGCTCATTCAACTTTACTAAAGTAAAATGGTAAGAATATATTTTTTGATTTCAATCCGACGTGTGATGTGATACAGTAGAATCACGTCTATCATCCAGGAAGATTGTGAAATTACATGAATTCTCGTTTTTTCTTGTTTCTTGTACACCATTTCAAAATGTTGCTTCACTTTCTCGGGTTAATGGTTTTTTTTTGTTTAAATCCAAGCCTCCTTGAAAAGGCATAACATAATTTTTTTCTCACACATAATCTTCCTCAGGCAACTACATAAAGTTACATGTCTTCTCCTTGAAACGTTACCGTTTCTTCTTCTTCTTAAGAAATTAAAAAATCACCCATACTCACAGACTCAAATCATCAACACAGTTTTGCTTTCACATCTTGTTGTTTGTTGAAAATCACTGACGATCACGAATGGACAACAATTTCCCGTATCTCCCTATTCTCCAAAAGCCTCTCATCCAACTACAATTTTCTTGAAATATTTGATTATTTATTTGAAGATACGATCATAATAGTAATAAAGATTACGTGGATCTAACAAAAATTAAAAAGATATAAACATGTTTTTAGTTCTTACAAAATTAAGAAATTTTTTAGTTTTAACTAGAATTTGGTTCAAGTCATGGAAACTCACGCAGTGACTAACCATACAAATCATCATCTCCCTCTGGTGCAGCAGATGAGAAAGGGTCTGAGGCACCTGTTGCACTGTTCTCGTTTCGTTCTGGAAACCGAAACTCAGATCCAAATCCTCGCGACTGTTGCAAGGTCTGAGCAAAAAGTTGGTATTTTCTGATGTCAGCATCACTCACACTCCGCCGAGCAAACTTCATAGACTCCTCAAAGTGTGCAGGCTTTATCTCAGATATCTCAACAATGTCATCTTCTTCCATGGCTTCAGGGTTTTCTCTTTTTCTTCTCTCCTGCTCAATACCCTGTTATTGTAGTTAAACTAGTGAGTTTCAAACTTCCAAAAAATGTTCAAAGACAAGAGTTTCAACAACAGATAAAAAGTCACATTACAAGAATGCATGTTAATGTGACATGTGACACTTCCTTTTGAAACAATTCCAGAGATTGGAAAAAGAGGGATTTCTAATATGCTTGATTGAGACTTTCAACATATGGTTTAGGTTGGTGTGAGAAAATCTTTGACTTGCACACGTGCATTCCATCTTACCTTTTCAATGTCTTCCCTAATGGCATATTTGCATGCGCGTTGGCAAATTTCTGTTATGTCTGCACCACTGAATCCATGAGTATAACCGGCAAGAGCTTCAAGATCAACATCCTTTGAGATTGGTGACTTCCTGAGGCAAGCTTTGAAGATTTGAAGACGTGAACTTTGGTCCGGTAAAGGGATGTAAATCAATTGGTCAAGACGTCCTGGTCTGAGCAATGCAGGATCTATTATGTCTGGTCTGTTTGTTGCCCCAATGATGAAAACTGTTTTCTTCGCTGTCATACCATCCATTTCAGTTAACAGTTGGTTCAACACCCTATCTGCAGCACCACCAGCATCCCCGACAGAACTGCCTCGCTGAAGATTGGAAATTTTCAAAGAACATTAGAAGATAAACGATATCAGAAACATTCTCTACTTTTGGTTCAGTTTGGTTTTCCAGTTCAAAGACTACCTTTTGAAGCAATTATCATGAGAAAAAATGTGTTTCTGTCCTTTAACAAGTCATAAACAGAATAATCTAACCATGATTATTCAGATGAAGTTTCATACCTGGGTTGCAATGGAGTCAAGTTCATCAAAGAAAAGCACACAAGGAGCTGACTGTCTGGCCTTGTCAAATATCTCACGAACATTTGCCTCACTTTCACCAAACCACATCGTGAGCAACTCAGGTCCCTTGACACTTATAAAGTTGGCCTGGCACTCATTAGCAATGGCTTTTGCAAGAAGGGTTTTACCGCAGCCAGGAGGTCCATAAAAGAGAACACCTTTAGAAGGTGACATGCCAAATTTCTCAAACTTCTCAGGATGTTCCACTGGGTATTGAACAGTCTACACACAAGAAGCAAAAAGATTTCTTACATTTGTTTGCAAATGCAAAAGGCTTAACTACATTAAATTGTACATGTTGAACTAAGATACAGAATATCAGAACAACCTCCTGAAGCTCCCTTTTGACATTCTCCAAGCCTCCAATGTCGTCCCAGGAAACATTTGGAACCTCCACTACCTGCCAACAGCAATAACTCATGTTATGGTTCTAGTAAGCAATTGCTTGTGATAGGTTAAAATAACCAAGACAGAATATTTTCATTAAGATTTGTATTTGAAATGATTGAAAGAACAACATGGGAATGCTAAAAGAAAGCAGGTTTCATTTGGAAAACTATGCTTCTTTTTGCCTTAAAAGTTATGAAACCCAATATATAACTAATCAGGCTCTAAAATTTTTGGTTTAAGAGTTCAGAAGCTAAACTCACTGTTTCGCGCAGAGCAGATGGGTTGGAAGAAGTTAAAGCAGTTTGAAAGTGTTCATTAGTCACAGCCATGGAATTCAACACCTCAGCATCAATTGTTTCATCCTCTAAGTCAATGACATCCATTTTCTCCCGGATACACTGTAGTGCAGCCTCCGTGCAAAGAGCAGCAAGATCTGCTCCAACATAACCATGAGTGTCTCTGGCAACTTTTTCAAGATCAACCTGAAATACAAACCATAAAATTGGAGTTGGGAAGTGCAAAAATATACGGCCTTCAGATCATAGTAGTTTCATGGCAAGACACTATGAATAGAATCTTACATTGTCTGAAAGTTTCATGTTCTTTGTATGAATTCTAAGAACCTCCAACCTTCCAATTTCATCTGGTACACCAATGTCAATCTCCCTATCAAACCTTCCAAATCTTCTGAGAGCAGGATCAATACTATTGGGTCTATTTGTGGCTCCAATAACTATCACATGTGATCGGGTTTTGAGGCCATCCATAAGAGTCAAAAGTTGTGAAACTATACGCCTCTCCACTTCACCATGTGTCTTTTCTCTCTTAGGAGCAATCGAGTCTAGCTCATCAATGAAAATGATAGAAGGGGAATTCTTTTCAGCTTCTTCAAATGCCTTCCTCAGATTGCTTTCACTCTCACCAGCTAGCTTTGACATTATTTCTGGTCCATTGATCAAAAAGAAGAACGCATCAGTCTCATTAGCCACTGCTCTTGCAATCAAAGTCTTCCCAGAACCAGGTGGTCCATAAAGCAAGATTCCTTTTGGAGGCTTAACACCAATTGATTTGAAGAGCTGTGGATGTCTTAGTGGAAGTTCTACAAGCTCACGAATCTGAGCCATTTGTTTCCTAACACCACCAACATCATCATAACCAACTTCATTTAGTCTCTCTTCGTCTTCCCTTTTGATTGGCTCTCCCTCACAGAATATCTCAGTATCAGGTGCCACAACACAGTATTCACTAGGATCAGTCTCTATTACCTTGAATTCAACACTACGCATTCCACCCCTAACAAGGAACAAGTCCCCTTTTCTCACGGGCCTGTACGATTCCAGAAAGTATGCTATGGAACCATAACACACAAGTCACATTCATTACAGATGCAGCAAAAGAAAAGAATGCTACTGAACAAGAATTCGACTTACGCTTCAGATATGCATCAAACAAGTTGCCAGTTACACCCTCAATGGTGTCATCAATTGGAAGGATATGAACTCGTTTTCCGTACTTCACATCAGGACATTGATTGACAGAGACAACATCTCCAAGTCTCACTCTAAGGTTAGCCCGAACAACCTTATTCATCCTAATTTTTGGTTCATCACAATGTTCATCAACCAGAACAATACAAACCGTATCCCTTCGCTTCTTTCCCTGTGAATGAAATCTATTTTTAGAATCACTTTCAACTCGCATTAGCAGCAATATACAGATTCTATGTACCTTTATCAGAACAGTGTCTCCCCGGAATAACTGAAGCTTCTCCATTGTTTCAGGGTGCAATGTAACCACAGAATTATCATCATTAACTGCTTCATCGACAATAAGTCGGTTAGGAGACTTCTTGCGTTCTAATATTGCTGTGGAATAATCCTTCTTCTCACTTTTCCTGCACCAAGCATAATCAGACCATTGTTAGCTATATTATTATCACTTAAGAAATTTCAAAAGTAATTTTAAACCAAATCACAGCTGCTTTGACATTCCACTTACTATATATGTTCATAACTACCATGCTTAAAAACTATAGTTACATTAAAAGTGCTGTTGCTGTTACTGGTAAACTTTGATGACTACCAAAACCTTAAATTTCTAAGGTACCCTTCTCTTAAATTTACACAATCGAATCTTCGTTGAAAACTATATAATCCCTGTTCCAAACTATTGACTTGCAACCATAATATTTAATTGCTGGTGATCAGCTGGGAAAACACACTGACACACTAAAGAGAAGCAAAACCCCAGAAAGATACAAATAAAACAACTCAGTTACGACTAACTGCAGAAATTAATTTCGTACTGCAAGATCAAACAACTTTTTTTTCTCTGCCATACGTGTTTCTCAACCAGAAAAATATACTTCAATTGTTTTCCAATTACGTGTTGTAATAAAAGGAAACGGAGCAAAAACATCACTAGTTATTTAAAAAAGAAGTTAAGAAAGAACAAACAACTCTTCTAAAGCATAGGATATACATTTTAACACACAAAAGAATAGGTAAAGGAAACCAGAATAATGATAAGAGTGAGAGAAACGCACGAGTCCAAAGAGGGATGTCCCTTATCATCAAGGTTAGATGAGGTTGGATCCGCCATGGTTCAGTGAAAGCTTTTACTTGGTGGTGATGACGATTCTTTTAGCTTCTGTAGGTAAAGAAAAGAATCAATAAATAAGAAGTATATTACTTTGTATTACTGTTTGAATATGTAGTTTACACAAGAAGATTCAAACTCAACACTTCAATATAGCTTCTGTGCAAAGATGATTGTAAAGGTGTATGATTCTCTTCTAGTATGATCCAAATCAACCTCACCAAAACGGAACAGTTGCAATTGTAAGCTTAGCTTAGCTTTATGAGAATGGAACATATGTAAAAATGGAAAAAGAAGAAAGAGGAATAGAAAAGGGGTGGTTTTGTTTGGAGTTATGGGACATGACACCATAGTATTGTTGAGAACTCCAATGAGGTGCGTGCGAGTGTCCATTAAGGTTTTTGGGAGTAGCCACGCATCACCTTGTTCTTACGCTTTGTTATGCCATCGTGTGACTCTTTCGTAGTTTCAAATTACCAGCACCGCCTGCAGTGTGCTCACGAAAGCGACGCAATATTATTTAATCAATTTATCAACTTTGGCATTAAAAGAAAAAGAAAAAA